TGCCAAGTGGTAGGTTTGCGAAAAAAATCTTCATCAATAATCTTATCTACATATGAAACAATATGGAGATGATGAAAGAATTCAAAGAAAACATGATGAAAAAATTCGAGATGACCGACCTTTGTTTGATAACTACTTCCTTAGTGTAGAGGCGAGACAACAAAAGTAAGAAATACTTATCTCTCAATAGAAATATACCGATGCTTTACTAAAGAAGTTCAAGATGTTTGGCTGTAAACTTGTTAATACTCCATTGGTGGTAAATGAGAAGATGTAAAAGGATGATGAAGCACTAGAAGTAGATGCATCACCCTACATGAGTTTGATCGGAAGCCATTTATATCTCATGGCCACATGACCAAACATCATGTATGTCACAAAAGGATGATGAAGCACTAGAAGTAGATGCATCACCCTACATGAGTTTGATCGGAAGCCATTTATATCTCATGGCCACATGACCAAACATCATGTATGTCACAAGTCTTTTATTAAGATTCATGCAAAAGCCAAGTCAAATTCACTATGGAGTAGGAAAAAGAATTTTAAGATATCTACAAGACATGAGGAGTTTGGTATATCATATAAAATCATGACCAACTCAAAGATGATTGGTTACATCAACAATGATTGGGTAGGATCAATAGATGACATAAAGAGTATGTCGGGATATGTCTTCTCACTAGGATCGAAAATTTTCTCTTAGGCATCAAAAAAGCAAGCAACAATAACACAATCTACAACAGAAGCATAGTATGTAACAGCTTCTTAAACTACTAGTCAAGCAATCAAGTAATATAGCTATGAAGAATATTCAAAGAAATGAGTGAATAACAAGATGGATCAACAATAATCTACTATGACAATAAATCGACAATTGCAATGAAAATGAACCTAATCCATTACCAGAGAACAAAACAAATAACTACTAAATATCACTTCATTAGAAAAACATAGACAAATAAATAAATTCGATTTAATTACTGCACAATAGAAAATCAAGTTGCAAGCCTCTTTACAAAGACATCATCAAAAATGAAGTTTGAGTAATTACATACTATAATTAGAGTTGTCGAAATTTATACTAATATGTTAAAAATACTGCAAATTTCTAAAATATTCTAAAAATTTGTAGACATGTAAAAAACAAGAAGAGAGAACTATAAGCTAAAGAAATAAAAAATATAAACTGACATTCTAAAAGTCGGTGGAGCTTACCTACGAATAGGCATTACAACACCATGTAATGTGCTTGAGAAAAATAAAGAAATACTTCCTTACTTATTACAAATATTGTTTACCTCCATAATATAATTCAAATTACCTTTATCTCATATTCTCTTCAAAAAAAAAAAATTTTAAAAAATCCCTACCCTTATACTTCCTCTGTTATATCATCTCATCTAAAAGTTTTTCTAGTGGTTAAGGGTAGTTGTATAACTATGAATAACATATGATTTAATAAAAATAAATAAACTTTTACAGTAATTTTTTGACTTGAGTATTAGCTGGTCTTCCTAATATATCATCGATGCTCTACTGAGTACTCAGTAGGATGACGGATATCATTCCCAAGATAACATTGTATAACTATAACTATTGTTGTATATCGGAATTTTTTCGAATTTGTAGACCGGATACTTAATCTGAATACACGATTATGATAGGTTGAGATGTACTTCGGGTAGAGTCATCTTATCAGCTACTAGTAGTTAGGTAGAGACAAAGACTAACATTAAAAAAAATATATTACAGGAATTATTTACAATATTATTTTAAAAGGACTACAACAAGAACAGTAAATATATTATAAAGACTAAAATAAAATTCAAAGCATGAATTTAATTCTTAAATAAACTAAATAGACTTCGTACCAAATTGTTTTTAAGTATCTTTAATTTCTACATTAAATTAATTGAAATTAAATCATAGTTTTGAAAGTATTCTAAGTGAACTGGTGGGCTGATTCTGACCTTTTATTTCCCTTCTCAGTGTCCCACACTCAACTACTAAACTTGTCCTGCTTTCATGTATCAAATTAATTGATCGAGTTTTCTTCTTGTTCTGCTGCTGCTTTCATTCTCTGATTCCTAACGATCAAATAGGGACGTTCAGTTTTTATCTTTTGTAAAAGTTATTTTTTTGCTTTCGGTCACGATGGCTCTAGATCCACGTATCATGCATTTGCCATGCCCATGGTCGTTTATCCCCAAAAAATTATGTCTATATGGGATGGCTTAAAAATTAAAATCCTGTCAACTTTGTTGGCAGAATATTTATTATCGAAGTTTAAATGTTTAATATAATGAATGATATGACAGAGAACCTAATCAAATAAAATAAAATCAAACACCGAAATAAAAGTACTTGCAAAATCCACGATATTCTCCTTCTACATGTGTCAAATATTTGTTATTATTATTTTTTTCTCCTACCGCAGCTCTTTTGAGCTAAAGCACAAAGCAGTTCGGGACAGAGGGCTTCTGTGTAATCACCAAGACAGGTCCAACTAACCTGTCACAAATTTTATTATTATGGTATAAATATATAATGTTTCTTTCATTCATTTTATTTGCGCCATTTAAAGCTTGGATTGCAGCATGGTTTAAGGAACAACGACCAACACTATGATTGCTACTATAAAAGTTTCGTAGTAGATTAGTAGTTTACTATGTATTAGCTATTCATCACAATATATATATTATTTTCTAAGTTGAAATTTTTAGCACAAGCATGTAATGGAGGTTTTGAAATGTAAGTGTGGTGCAGGAAACATTCCCAAAGGGGTGTTCATATTACCACTCACTCTTCTTGTGATGGTGTTACTCCTTCCTCTGGTCATAGACTTGAATGAATCATATTTTAGTCTATATGGAAGCAGTTTGGAAACCCCAGAAAACAACAAGTGCAACATATTTTCAGGAAGTTGGGTGCCATATTCCAAAGGGTCTTTCTACAGTAATGAAAGTTGCCCTTTCATAGCGGAAAAGCAGAACTGCTTCATGCATGGGAGACCAGACAGAGAGTTCCTGAAATGGAGATGGAAACCTGAGGAATGTGAGCTTCCGCTGTTTGATGCCAAACAATTTTTGAAGATTGTTAGGGGAAAGTCCATGGCTTTTGTTGGAGACTCAATTGCCCGAAACCAGGCTGAGTCATTGTTGTGCCTCCTAAATAGTGTAAGTATCTCATCAACAATTTTTTGCTTTTTTGGTATAAAGCATTTTAAAATATTAACCAAAACTCTAAAATGAAATAAATTGAGTATAGAAATAAAAAGAGTCCCTCCGATGCAATTTTAACATTTTAAAAATGTATTAAAATATTAACGTTCTCACTTTTCTGTGTGATGTTAATTAAAATATGAAAATGTTACTTAATGTAATTTTATATTCATTAATATTAACACGTTACTTATTTTTTAAATGAAGTGTGTTTTATATAAATTAAATTGTTATTAACTCTACAAATGCAAATTAATACTTGATTACCGGTTTTAAAAATTCCGTGAATCATATTTATGGAAAGAAAAAAAAATCAATAACCTAAAAAGCTTTAAACTTGATCGAAAAAGTAATTTAAGTGGATTAAAGTAATTGTAATTAATAGGTTAATATGATGGGGACCCAATCCGGCAATCCCAATGTTGTGGCGAATGAATGATGTTTCCAAATAAGTCATAACTACTCTTTCAGGTTGCTCGTCCTGTGGACATTACATCCAGATACACATCGAAGGACGACAAATATTTCAAATGGTGGTTCTACGCCGATTATAAGTTCACCGTTGCAATATTATGGTCACCCTTTTTCGTCAAATCAAGTAAAGCATACCTCAAAGACACATCTTTCTACAACGCCGAGAACCTTTTCCTAGATGAGCCAGATGAAGCTTGGGCCAATCACATTCAAATTTTTGACTACCTTATTTTCTCTGCCGGACAATGGTTCTTCCGACCATTAACATTCTACGAAAATCGCCAAGTTGTCGGATGTCAAAAGTGCCATAACTTGACCACAGACCCTCTCAACTTGTACGGTTACAGAAACGCATTCCGAACCGCTTTCAGAACTGTCATAAACCTCAAAGGGTTCAAGGGGATGGTGTTTTTGGTGACTCATTCGCCGAACCACTTTGAGAATGGAGAGTGGAACAAAGGTGGAGGGTGTAATAGAACACTTCCCGTTAACAAGGAAGATAAAGGGTTTTTGCATCCCTACGCTCTCGAGGAAATCTATGAGACACAAGTGGAGGAATTTGCAGCAGCGGAAAAGGAAGCCAGACAGAAAGGTTTGCGTTTTGGTTTGATCAACATAACTGATGTGATGCTCATGAGGCCTGATGGACATCCTCATAAGTATGGCCATAATTTGGATAGAAATGTCAGCATCAACGACTGCGTTCACTGGTGTATGCCCGGTCCCGTTGATACATGGAATCAGTTTTTGCTCCATATGATCAAAATCGGAAGCTTCTAAATCTTTTCAATGTAGCTTCAAATTATATATTATACGTTTTCGTGAGTGTCTATAACTTTATTTTCTAAACTTATGTTTCTAAAATAGCATACCAAAATATTCAAAGATTGACCTACCTCTTCTTAATACCGTAAGAAGAGCTTATATATTTATGTTTGAATATGTTAAAATTTCAGATTCTTTAGACATAATTTTCCAAAATTTTGATTAGATATTACATCTAATCCTAGTTATCATAAATATGCATTGTTTCCTAGACCGAATTATTTTAAACGATTTTGAGCTTAGGGGATATAAAAATAATTTTGTACAAAAATTTAGAGTAATTATTTTTATTGAATGTTTCATCATTTCTTTTCCATCTTTAATTAGTGAAATTTTGGTTCGAAATATACAACTAATCATAGAACAACACACGCAAGGTGTAACATTTTATTCTAGAAAAAAAAAATTAAAAAGAAGAGGAGCAAGAGGCTTGCTAGCTAGACTTTTGGGCCAAGCGGCCCAAAGTTCATTAAACCCAAAATCACTAATCTATGGAACCTTTTAGCCCCAATGCAATACTCCATGAGACGTGTCAGTGCGTGGATAGACATACAAAGACTGAAATGAGATTTGTTATGCTTTACATAAATTAATTCCCTATTCCAAGTTTGTACAGTTAATGTATTATGTAGTTTATGACCCCTAAGCTGTGAAAGTGGATGGTGTAACATGCTCAGTTATGCCCTACTTAATTTGTTTAAACTTGTTTGTACTGAATACTCATTCATATGATTATGTAGATGAGTTCCTTTATTGGGAGATTATAAATTATTGCTAAAGGAGTACAAGGAAAAGTAATTTAGGTAAGTGAATGACCTACACCAATACTTTTAGGATGCAAACAAAGATCAAACAAAATAATGTATGTTGGAAATTTTAATCATGGAAGAGGGTGCAAAACAACAGGAAAAAAATGACATTTGGTGTCTAAGAACTCCCAACAGCCAGGCTATAAATTCTGGATTTTTGTACAAAATATTATGAATGATGGTGGCCTGGTGGGTAAGATGTTACAATCAGTAGTGATATATTTTTCATGATGCAGTTTTAGTGATTGGTTCACGAAGGACGTGAACACTTGTCAAGCCACTTAATTTAGGAATCAATTGACTCAATAAAAAAAATAAAATAAAATAAAATAAAACTCTTGTGGGAGAGAAAACATTTTTATAATTGAAACATAACTAGTGATAAGATTAACTATATAATATGGACAAAAAACTTTGAAAGATATATGATAACATTAGTATTGAGTATATGTGAAAAGGATTCCATAAATTTTTAATATTTTTGCTAAAAGAGCGATTAATGGGTCAAAGAAGTGGCAAATTGACAAATATAATATTAGGGTTTATAATTAAACCGATCTAAAACATGAGACATACTTTGAAAGATTCACACAGTTATAAGAGCACAAATAGTAAATCTAGTGCGAAAATCTCCCCTTGTTTGAGTTGAAAAATATGACAATGACAAATGGGGGAAAAAATAGATGAATTTGATTTTTGGATGGGATCGCAACAATGATTTTGAAAATATTTATCTTGTTTTGGTAGAGAAACATATGCAAGCTCTATTTGTCTTTGATTTTATAATTGTGGGCAGACTTTTACTTAGGTAGGGGCAAAAAAAATAATACAGAAAGACTTCGAAAGCACCCCAAAGAAAAAGTGCGTTTTTTTCTTCTCAATAGAATAAAGCAAATTGGTGCTTCTTTGTCTGCATTACAATTAGAAAACAGAGTAATGAGTTGGAAATGAGATCACTTTTGAATTGATAATATAAAGATTCCTTTAGTAAAGAAACTGCATAACAAATCCTTAAAATTAATAAGTGTTGCGTACTAAAAGGGAACTAGACCCACAGACTAATATTTTATAATTTGATTGAAAAGGGTGCAACAAAGCCATTGGAACCTGAAAAGTTGGCTTTGGTGTGATAAGTAATAGTGTAACTGTGTAATACCAAATGCCATTAGGAGCATGTATCTTCATTCAATATACATCACTGAAAATTGCATGATGTTGGCCCACAAACGTACTCTTCTGCCTTTTCAAAAGCCGCAAAAAGTCATAACTAAGATTACTTATTTTCCTTTTTCAATTCACACGAGAGATAAACACATCAACTTTATCCTATTTCAACAAACCAGATCCAGGCATGTGAATTGTCGTTTATAAATTAACATCTTCTTTCTCTTTCTTTACCAAACTTATTTATAGTTCATACTGTATATAAAACTTCGCCAAAAGGGACATATTCCCCTTTAAGCTTTCTTTAGCTTGACCAATAAGCAAATACTCCTCAATTTTAATTTGTCCCAGGGATTTTTTTCTTTCTTTAATTTAATTTTTCATGCACTCTCCATGTAATTCTTCTCTTCTATCAACTAATTAAATATCACCTTATATATATTTTCAAATAATTATTACAAAAATTCACAATATAATCATATATAACAAAATATGATTATGTTTATATTATCATCAAGTTATTCTAATAAAAATATTTTTTCTTTGCAAATTGTAAACTATAAATATGAATTACAGATTGAGCCTAATAAGTACAACATTTCACTTATTATGTTACAGATTAAGCTAATAAGTACAAGATTCCAAACAGAGTTATCATATTCCTACACCAAAACAAAGTATTATTGTGCATAACAGACTTTAGACCTCATGCTAGGGAAAATTGGCCCTGTCACTAATTAACATATGTGCTTTAGGACCAACCACTGGCTTTGGTATTACAATTTTAAATTAAGAGAGAATCAGCCGTGGCTAACATTAATATACAGTGAGCAAGGAGAACCAACCAAATGGCATATCGAAATAGCATATCATATCATCGCACACCTAAACAAAGAACCAATTTGTGTATTAATTTTATGAAGTACTTGTTGTTCGCCATATCTTTTTCCAGCGAAGATCCATTTCTTCATAGCTTCAGTGGTACATTTCCTTTTGGATATCTCTGTACATACATGTGGCACTGTACACAAATAGGAGAGTACACCACTGCATTAAGCCATTGACGTATGAAAGCCAACTTAATATTCGACATGCCTTTAATCTTGTTCTTGAACTTTTTAAAGGAAAGAGAAAAGGCAGTACTTTTTAGCTCGTAAGATCTTTGAGAGCTACCTTACTTTTGAAAATAGAATACATTCGGAAGAATTTCACTAGAACAAGTTTCTTCCTCCTTTCATACATATATATTATGCAAGTACATGCATCCCCTTTCCACTACCTTTTGACACTTTGCAAGCGACCTATCTGGATTGGACCCACCTTGTAGACATTTTAGCACTGCATGATCATAACGTACGTACGCTAACTGCTCTGTGGATAAATTAAATTAGTTTTCTAATTAACTAATACATGTAATTACAATAAAATACGACACATTTTCGATAAAAAAAAAATTCAAATCTTAAAAGGAAAGTCATAGCTAAAAATATACTTTTATCTCTATACCTACTTGTTGAGTTAATTTATTCTCTGCGATATAATTTGCATAAAAGAAATTATGATGAATCACACTTTTTTTTCTTTAATAAGCTTTAGTTATTTATAAGAGCAACAAAAAATTATTATACCAAGTAATTTCACATTTATATTTTTTAATTAATGATCACGATTCAATTCTTGATTTAGATATGAAATTACAGTTGGACATATCAACTTTACTCCTGAAGAACCACAAAAAAAGATTTATAACTCTTTAATAGAAAAAAAAAAAAAAAAAAA